CTCTCGTGTGTCGTGTATATATCATATATATATATATATATATATATATATATATATATATTTCACACACACACACTTATATATATAATTGAAGCAAAGAGTTCCCCATATGAACCAAACAAAGTGAAATATTATACTACTACTACTATACAGCAATTTTAGCTTTTGGTTTCATAAACTACTACGGCAGTATGAGCAACCGGTTCCATGAAACTACTAAAGCAGTATTAGCAACCGGTTTCATATACTACTGCAGCAGTACTAGCAATCAGTTTCAAGTCCTACTACAGCAGTACTAGCAACAAGTTTCATGAATTACTACAGCAGTATTAGCAACAAGTTTCATGAATTACTACAACAGTATTACCAACCAGTTTCATGAATTACTACAGCAATATTAGAAACTGGTTTCGTGAATTACTACAGCAATATTAGAAACCAGTTTCATGAATTACTACAGCAATATTAGCAACTGGTTTCGTGAATTACTACAGCAATATTAGCAACCGGTTTTGTAAACTACCACAGCATTACTAGCAACCGGTTTCAAATACTATTACAGCAGTACTAGCAACCAGTTTCAAGTCCTACTATAGCAGTATTAGCAACCAGTTTCAAGTCCTACTATAGCAGTATTAGCAACCAGTTTCAAGTCCTACTACAGCAATATTAGCAACCAGATTCATGAATTACTACAGCATTACTAGCAACTCGTTTTAAGTACTACTACAGTAGTACTAGCAACTGGTTTTAAGTACTACTACAGCAGTACTAGCAACGAGTTTCAAGTCCTGGTACAGCAGTATTAGCAACCAGTTTCAATTCCTACTACAGTAGTATTAGCAACCAATTTCAATTCCTACTACAGTAGTATTAGCAACCAATTTCAATTCCTACTACAGTAGTATTAGCAACCGGTTTCTTGAACTACTACAGCAGTATTAGCAACCGGTTTCATGAACTACTACAGCATTACTAGCAACTGGTTTCAAGTACTACTACAGTAGTACTAGCAACTGGTTTCAAGTACTACTACAGTAGTATTAGCAACCAGTTTCATGAACTACTACAGCAGTATTAGCAACCAGTTTCGTGAACTACTACAGCAGTATTAGCAACCAGTTTCGTGAACTACTACAGCAGTACTAGTAACCAGTTTCGTGAACTACTACAGCGGTACTAGTAACCAGTTTCGTGAACTACTACAGCAGTACTAGTAACCAGTTTCGTGAACTACTACAGCAGTACTAGTAACCAGTTTCGTGAACTACTACAGCAGTACTAGTAACCAGTTTCAAGTACTACTACAGCAGTACTAGTAACCAGTTTCAAGTACTACTACAGCAGTACTAGCAACCGGTTTTATGTACTACTATAGCAATACTAGCAATCAGTCTGAAGTCCTACTACAGCAGTATTAACAACCAGTTTCGTGAACTCTTTTGTTTTCTTTATACAATATCATAGACTTTATTGGAGTGGCTTGAAATTTGTTTTTAATATATACATGTGTGTAAAGAAGCACCTTCCTGTGTTTCCACTAGGAACAATCAGAAAAACACATGTATAGTAAAACTGTACGAATGATATCCTGGCTGTACATAAATAACATTACAAAGTTAACAATCATAATGGCCGAATCGTGTAACCCATCCAGACTCACCAGTTTGTCTTTAATAGTCGGACTAGATACACACAAGTAAAGCCTGTCATCTTCTTGAATACAACTGTCTATCAACAGCTGTACTGAGGGCTCTTCTTGGAACAGTAAGAAAGCATAGCCTTTAGGAAGAACAAAATGTACATCATTTCACAGCCCTTACATTCCTGCCTGGGTGTCATTGAAAAAACATAATAAACGCGTTTCAGTACAGCTTCAAATAAGAACAATTATTTTATTCTTGTACAAAGATATACCAATTGGCATAAGAAAAGAGAAAGAATACTAACGAAACTACTTCAGCATATGTGAAGTTCAGGAATGTAAAAAGAGACGATTCCTGATGATTGAAGTAATGACACAAGATCAAACAATTTTGTGTACTTTTTTTTTTATATTAGATAAGAAGTATCTTCAATAAAAAATAGAATGCATAAGTTATCTCTATTACTATCTAGGGTTTCTGATTTTGAAAACAAGTCAGAAAATAAAGGAATTCATGCAGTTAAAAAATCAGTGGTCAAACTTCACCCATGAGCAGGAAATTTTGAATGTTATCGGTATTTTTCCTTATTTTTATTACAGTTCAAATAATGATAACTACACAAAAACTTCATTAATTTATTTACCGAATTTAAGGACTATGTATTGAAAGGTTTATCAATTCACAGTAACCTTTCATGATTACAACAAAACTTATGGGGGTCATGTTTGAGTGAAATGGTACCAAGGTAAGCTGTAATGAATGAAGAAATGAGTTTTTACCATAAAGCTTTCCACGCTTAATGAACTGTCCCTTTCTTTTTTTTTTCTCTATGTTTTGCAAAGTTCAATGACATAACTTGAAGCACGAACTTGACAAGTTATCGGCAAATAACACAATACATTTTACTTCCAGGTGAGAAAAAAAAACTTAATATGAATGACAATACTGAAATACAACAAAAACTGCCCTAAAACACGTCTATTACATGTTCATTATTTTAAAAACGTGCATGTAGTTACATTGTAACTTCTCACTTTTGTCTAAACAAACTAAATACTGAATCCACCTCAAATCGCACATAATTACGATGGAAAAGACAACAGCCACATACCCTTAGGAGGAAAGTATGATTTGCTCTCCGCTTTGTGAGGCCAGTCAACTACCAGTGGTCCAAATCGATGAAAAGTTGCAGTAATTTCCTCTGTGAATATAGACAATATTCTGATTGATATTAGTATTTAATATACAGATTTTTAGCAATTCAAGTATCATCAAAATTTACAAGTTTTCAAAACCCAGCTGCAATTACGAATTTTAATTAATTAATTCAATTACAATGACAAAATACTGAGAATTTCATGTTCTGAAAACTTAATGGTTGTACCAACCAAAAACTCTTTTGTAAGTGTTAAAATCAAAATACAGCCGATAAAAAAATTCATTACAAAATAAGAAACCACTAAACAAAAGAAATGCTCATGATGTAGTAATTAAGAAGTAACAATTTCTCATCGAGAACAGAACAAAAACATTGTTTGACTGGTAATTTATCAATGGATTAATCTTATGAAAACAAACAGCAAAACTAAAAATACCATTAAACTGGTATACTCTACGTATATTTGTCTGAAAAGAACCAGTAACTTCACCACCAAACACTATTTGACTGGTACACTTTACATACACTTATTTATCTGAAAAGAACCAGTAACTTCACTACCAAACACTATTTGACTGGTACAATTTACATACAGATATTTATCTGAAAAGAACCAGTAACTTCACTACCAAATACTATTTGACTGGTACACTTTACATTCACTTATTTATCTGAAAAGAACCAATAACTTCACTACCAAATACTATTTGACTGGTACACTTTACATACACTTATTGGTTCTTTTCAGATAAATAACTTCACTATCAAATACTATTTGACTGGTACAATTTACATACACTTGTTTATCTGAAAAGAACCAATAACTTCACTACCAAACACTATTTGACTGGTACAATTTACATACACTTGTTTATCTGAAAAGAACCAGTAACTTCACTACCAAATACTATTTAACTGGTACGATTTGCATACACTTATTTATCTGAAAAGAACCAGTAACTTCACTACCAAATACTATTTCACTGGTACAATTTACATACACTTGTTTATCTGAAAAAAACCAGTAACTTCACTACCAAATACTATTTGACTGGTATATTCTAATGACATCTAATTAAAGAGAACTGACAATTTCTCTACAAAACACTATTTAATTGGAATGTTTTAAGTAGACTGTTTTGAAATTTCAATTTGGAAAAAACTTTAGTTTCTGTGTCATAAGTTCCTTCACTGTTTAATACCACTAAACCAACTACCATACATTTCAGTTTCTATGTCATAGGTTCCTTCAATGTTTAATACCACTAAAACAACTACCATACATTTCAGTTTCTATGTCATAGGTTCCTTCAATGTTTAATACCACTAAACCAACTACCATACATTTTAGTTTCTATGTCATAGGTTCTTTCACTGTTTAACACCACTAAAACAACTAAAATACATTTTAGTTTCTGTGTCATAGGTTCCTTCAATGTTTAATACCACTAAAACAACTAGAATATATTTTAGTTTCTATGTCATAGGTTCCTTCACTGTAAATATGTTAACAAACAAGTGTAACCTTTACCCAAGAAATGTAAATATGTTAACAAACAAGTGTAACCTTTACCCAAGAAATGTAAATATGTTAACAAACAACTGTAACCTTTACCTAAGAAATGTAAATATGTTAAACAACTGTAACCTTTACCCAAGAAATGTAAATATGTTAACAAACAACTGTAACCTTTACCCAAGAAATGTAAATATGTTAACAAACAACTGTAACCTTTTCCCAAGAAATGTAAACATGTTAACAAACTACTGTAAACTTTACCCAAGAAATGTAAATATGTCAACAAACTACTGTAAACTTTACCCAAGAAATGTAAATATGTTAACAAACAACTGTAACCTTTACCTAAGAAATGTAAATGTTAACAAACAACTGTAACCTTTACCTAAGAAATGTAAATGTTAACAAACAACTGTAACCTTTACCTAAGAAATGTAAATGTTAACAAACAACTGTAACCTTTACCTAAGAAATGTAAATATGTTAACAAACTACTGTAAAGTTTACCTAAGAAATGTAAATATGTTAACAAACAACTGTAACCATTACCTAAGAAATGTAAATATTGTTGCATCAGCGAGGTCACGTGACTAGTGTCATGCCACTCGTTCTCTCGAACCTTCGTGAATTGTCGGGAGATTACTAGAT